GGTGAGCAACCAAGACCAAACTATTGGTTCATCACTTCAGACCTCAAGAGGAAATCTCACCTATTAAGAAGTTCGGGCGCAGTACCAGTATGGTGCTATACGTTTTTTTCTCACATTCTGCTATCCTCATGGTTATAGTCTGCCAAACGCGCTTCAGCCTTACATTGCCACGGTTTTGCACTATGAGGTACCGACATAAACCCACCCCTGAACATGGCTAAAACATGAAACACGTCCACTGAAGATGTGTAACTGTCAAATACCGTCTGGCTGACAAAAATTAGCGAGGATAGGCAAACCAAGCTAATGTAGATAACTTTAGGTTTATTACCCCGCAGTCCACAGGAAGTAATATATCCCAATTTCTAGCTTCTGTTTGGACAAATATTTGAAATGTGACTTTTTCAAAAATTATTTATTGATCTGAATATTCCTTAACTCCTAATCCGGATTAATAAAATTACTGCTTCCAACGACTACTTCTGGTAGCTGATAGAATATTTCAAGAAATAATATTATACTTTGGACAGTTCCTTGATATTGAAAACAAATTCTAAAGGTAACGGCATCAGTGTCATTTTTCTAATTTGGTCGTTATCAATCGTTTTGGTCTATTCTCTATGTATGTCAAACATCTGTTGATATGGGTAAAGCGAGGATAGATGAATCAATATTACCCAACACTGGAACGCATCTGATTGAACAAAATGGCCAGAAACTACAAAGCAACAAGGTTCAATGACTAAAAGTCAATCGATGTACAGGTCCCGATGCAATATGCACGGATATAAGAATCTATTCCGAAGATTGAAGATCAACGTAGACACTTCGGAAAATTAGTGTTGTTTACACACTTGGGATACGAGTTCCCTTTAGAATACAGACATGCAACATTTACTGCAGAATTCAGCTTCTCGGAAATTTAAGTGGATGCTTTTAAGTTATTGTTGGAGGGTAAGAAAGTCAAAAGAAAGATACATACATTACATAAAGAACTTAAAGTTAAAAGTAAGTAAGATGTTTGAAAAGGAAAAGCATTCAAATAATCACAGCAAAATAATTTCATCCGGATAAACGTTCTTTTGGTATGATCATCGCTCGCAAAAATTAGGCTCGATTAATTTAAATAGGCATTTGAGATGATCTCACCCAGAGGAGAGATTAAAAACAGACTGTCCAGTGTTTATGCTTTTTAGGTTACAAGAAGAAAGCAAATACGTACGAGGCTAGTAGAAAATTTGAACATCTGTAATAAAACCCGGTTTTAATGAAAATTGTTCTTTTTTTGACACATATTGAGAAATTTATGAATTTAAATATTATTAATGTAGACTAGTTACATAAGTTCCAAATTGGATTGTAGTATGCAAATTTCGACCGTTTAAGCAATAGGCTATTATGCAGAAATGAACTATCGCTTGTAAGATTAAGTGAGCAATCTTTATAGGTTAAAAGCAGCAGAAATTATACCAAAACATGACTTAACCAACACTGAGTAAACTTGGCCTTCTAACGGAAACAAATCGGAAATTCTCAGTTGACTGTAATCGGTGAGAGCTGGGTTTTTTCGCTAATGCAGGAAGTTCTCTCATTGTTCTGCCGCTAAGTCGGAAGGGCGACTTTCTCTTTTTCAAAAATTGACAAGTTTCACCTTCTCGCGATACATATATGTTTCGCCGGTTTTTTCGTGTTGATCATGTGGGCGAAAGAATCCGAAATACCAGAGAGTCTAGTTTCTGAGAATCATAAGGTGAGACTACTCGCAGGAATTTTACGCCTCTTGATCCTCGGCGGGATCAACGTACTGCAGGACGCACAGATTGTATTAATATGTAATGTAATAAGTTATCAATATGCAATTAATAATTGATTTAGCGAATGAAAAATGATCATGACCTAGGGTCTTATAATCATCTTTGGATTTCGTGAATGGTAAAATCTTTTTCCGTTTTTCGCTGCCATCATAAATTATGTTATTTTCATCATCCCTTATCTCTTTTTTAAACATATTTATCGATTTATGAAGAGTCTTCCTGAGTTCTACTCATGTCATGAACTTTGAATATTTTCGAACCTCCTGGTCCGCCAGGTCTCGCTCTGCTCAACACTGTGTCTAAACGCGTCATACATACCAAAACAGTGAGACTTGACTGACCAGACTGATCACAAACGACCATACAGGTTCATCACCCCCCAAGGCTTAAGAGGAAATCCCACAATTTACAATCATATGTTCTCGGAATCATTCTGATGGACTTTGTTCTTTTTCCTAACCGAAAAATCTTTGTTGGTGCAATAGTTTTGGTATTATCAAACGTTAATTTAAACTAAAATCTAGTTTTGTAGTGAATTTCCATTATTCTGCCGTAGATATTACATCAGCTAAGTGTTAACCCATTCTTTTGTTGTAGCTCGTGAGTCTTAAACAAATAATTAGTGTCATTATTTATTTCTCCACGTGCATGTTTTAACTACTATTACGAGACCTGTTTATTATTATAATTAGTGTCTAACAATCCTTTTTCGATTAGCGAATTATTTTGTTGTTAATTTTTCCAAATAAACAAAAATTTATCAAAGAAGTTTAGCTGAAACAATATTTTAAGGTTTAATGATTAAATTATCATTATTTAATTAGTTTTCGGTTTATTATTAATTATTATTTCTAATTTTTATGCAAAGACGGTCGAGAAGAAAAATTAGTATCACGAGCGGGATTCGAACCAACGACCTTCTTCTCAACCAATTATCATTTCAGAGGGTTAGGGCTTGATATTTTCTCCTGGATTAGGGTTAAAAATTCATCTATATGCACATAAACACCATAAGATGTACTTATTATGTTAATTGAAAATATCAGATATTATTACGATGTCCTTTCTTCGTCGATAAATCTTTTTTCGTTTTTTAAGGTTTATTTTTTAACAAGGCAATTTTATAATTGTATGATATTTTTAGTTAGCTAGAAGAATGATTTCAATTTGAGGGGGGGGCTTTTATGTCGGATGACAATTGGTGCCCTCTAGAAATCCGTCCTTGGGGCCGGATTTACGCAACATATCCTGTCCTGCGTCGGCACAGGCTTCCCTACGCCCAAAGCGAACTTGCAAAATTTGCATGCGGCCACAGGGGAAATAACGGCCCTCGAATTGTTCCTTAAAATATAATAAGTTCATTAAGTCCGGAGGGGGGAGGGAGCGATTCGGTGTTGATAAAACGGGGTTGCGCTTACTTGAGATGCATTTTATTCATAATTCACATATTGTTTTTAACCATTGAATCATTTTACATATGAGTTTTTTGTTAGGTCTGAGGGGTGGAGAAGCTTTTTAATTTGTACTGATCATACTGCTCGCAGTGCCCACCGGTAAACATGGTAAACTGCCAAAACGTGACTTACAGACCAAAAAGAGGGAGGAAAGCTGGACGAGGATGATCAGAAACGACCAAACTACAAGCTCGTCACCCTACAGTCTACGATAAGCAACCTCTAATTCCTACTACTTAATTCATTCATATCATAAAAGCACAAATGCAAAAAGTACCCCCAGCTCGTGTCCTGTATGAACGATTGTAAGAATCGGAATATACCTAGAAATCTTGCCTGAATCACATGGAATTTATAATTACCGGTTAATTGTAATAAAACTGAATACCTATTAATACATTTTGATATTTGTTCGTGAGGTCGGCAGGGAATGGACCTATAAAACCTGATGAACCTGGTCAGCCTTCCGAGATCTGTCAGACTTGTTATGGTATTTCCCCTCGTAAATCATGGACTTGTGTCAGCACTTCCCCCTGCTTATTTCCCTGACAAACACTGAACATAGCAAACTTATTCTGTGATATTGTTGGCTAACACAGAACCAATGGATTTTAATAATGACCTCTGAAGGCTGGTTGTTTTCGATCATCCTTATCAACCTATCCTGGTTGGTTTGGTCTGTCAGTCTTGTTTTGGCATTACGCGATAATCAATTGTGGCCTTGTGCCGGTGTTTCTCCCTGCTTATAACCCTGACAGACCATGAACATAGCAAACTTATTCTGCGATACTGCTGACTAACATAGAACTAATGGATTTTAATAATGACCCCTGTATTTTGGTTGTTTGCGATCTTTCTTATCAACTTATGTTTTGGTCAGTCAGGCAGTTTTTGGCATTACGCGATAATCAATCGTGGCCTTGTGCCGGAGCTTCCACCTGCTTATATAGTCACTGAACACATGAACCACCATTCTTCGATAATGCGGCTAACGTGTTAACAATTGATTTTATTGATGAATCCTGTAGTTTGGTCGTGTCTGATCATTCTTCATTACTATCCTGCATGTTTCAATCTGTCAGACGCGTTTTGGAATTTCGCCATCGGTAGGTACTTCGCCCTGCTTCTCCTAACAGCCACTGAACATAGCCGACTCTATTCCGCAATATTGTCTGGGATTTTGGTTATTTTGATTAGCAGTTTGACATCTTCAAAAAACAATGCTTTAGTTTTCTTAGAATAATTAACTACCAAAGATATAAGCTTGGAGAGGCACCGAAGCAAATCCAATCTTGGCGAATTCACAGACCCTGTTCTCCCCCTGAATTTGACTGGCGAGCATACTTTTCAAAACAATCGCCAAAAAACAAGATATAAACTGACTGAATGGTCGTTTGTAGGTCACTGAATAAAAAACAATTAACAACCATCGTTAGGTGATAAATTTTCAGCGAATATTTATAAAATGTGGTTTTTATTTCAATTGAAATTATTTAAATAAAAGGTAAAATATGTAGTTCTTTATGGAATTATACGTACTCTTTTCTTTGCGTGATTATAAATTAGAAAAGTGTAAAAATATTTTATTGCTCAGATTATGGTGGTGCTATTGAGGATGAGACCGATGGTTATAGCCAAGTCATTCGTTAAAATTGTACATAGTCTAGCTTTAAAGAAGACAATATGGCTGTAGTTTTTACAAAATGCATTAAAGTGAAAAGAAAAGACTTACCGTCCCTAGACATGCCTAGCCTGAGGCACTTCTGGAGCCTGCAGTACTGGCATCGGTTCCTGTTGACCCTGTCAACGAGACAAGCCTTGCTCCTGGGGCATTGGTAATTGACAACCGACGACTGAGACCGCCTGAAGAACCCCTTGCAACCCTCGCATGTGATCACACCATAGTGGACTCCACTCGACTTGTCACCGCACACCTTGCACGGGATTATTTCGATTTGGGCTGAAACAAAAAGGTGGACATTAGTACTTGCCAAACTAATTATCAACGATTCCATCGGATAATATAAATACACAATAGATATGATTTTTCTGAATGGAAAATAAGATGAGGATGAGACGATAAACGAGTTGAATTATGACATAAAAATACACGCCATATAAACGTAGAAAATTTGATCAAGAAGCCACGAATAATAACCATAAGGTAGATTTTTATATTGTACATTACGCGGAAATTTCTTATTTTTATTTAAAAAAAAAAACTCGAAGAAATAAGGTTTCCGTTGTTTAGAAGTTTATATTTTGCTTCAGAAATAAGGTAATAAAATATAAAAAAGATCTATTACATTCTGACACCATTCAGACCATACATCAGCATCGAGGGAAGGAAGTGTTGGTTATTGTAAGGAAATATATCATTTCAGATTTGATTCTTTTTCATGAATTCTTAGTATAAAAAGTATTAAAATGCAAAATAATAATTTAAACAATATAAGTTTGATAATATTATCTAAAAAATGAAACGACTTGTCTGTGAAAAACAAGGAACATTTCTACATTATTTATTTATTTTTATTTCAATACTTTTACTGTTATGTATGAAAATGTAGATTAAAATCATAATTATAAAGTAAGTAAAAAAATTCACACAATTTTATTATCATTAAACGATTTCTATATTGAAATACTACTGTTGCAATAGAACTAAAGGAAATAACGTGTCTCTTAAAGTAATGACTGTTGGGTCAAAAGTCAATATCAATAATTGATGTTGTAAGATTTTCTAATGGGGTCTGCGGGGTGATGAGCCAACCACCCACAACAAATAGGAAAAGATTACCAGAGATGGCTCTGATTGACTAATAAAAGATCCTGCACTAAAGATGACGAGAAGCCGAATCGCGTCCGACTAGAACAGCGAGGGTAGGAAGATCAGAAATATCAGCGCCGACTAAACTGACTTTTCTAGATTATTTTACTTTGATTATAGAAATAGCTTAGACACATCACTGAAGATGTAGAAAAGCTGAAATGTGTCTGAAAGAGCTAAACGGCAAAAATAGGACGAGGAGATAAATTCTAGCTTGGTAGATACCGGCCATTCCACAAATATGGAAAAATTAAGATTTTTTTGTTTTGTGAGAATGATTGGTTATTAGGGATATAAGTAGGGTGAGACACCGACACAAATCAAAGAACATTTGGAAAAGCCACATCCAACTAAAACAGCGTGACAGCCAAAATGTTTTGGAACAACCAGACCACATTTTCTATTATAATAAAGATGTCGAGAAGCCGAATCAGATCTGATAAAAAAAGCAGAGAAGATAAATTCGGGATAAAAATAAAATAAGATCAAACATGATCTACTAAAATAGGATAGGCAAACCCAAATATCTAAAACAGCCGAACAGCATTTTATGTAAAATAAACTACTCCGATTCACTAATAAAACAGACTAAGCACTGAAGATGTCGAGAAGCCGAATCGGGTCTGATAGAACAAAACAGAGAATATAATCAAATCAAAAAAGACCTGAAACTACTAAAATAGATAGGATAGGTAATCTAAAATATCTGAAACGGCCGAGCTGCATTTTATGTAATATAAAACAGACTAAGCATTGAAGATGTCGAGAAGCCGAATGAAGTCTGATAAAAAAAAGCAGAGAAAATAACTAGATCAAAAAGATCTGAAACCACCAAATAGCTAGGACAGGCAAACCAAAATATCTGAAATAACCGAGCCGCATTTTATGTAACAAAAACTAAACCAATTCACAAATAAAACAGACAAAGCACTGAAGATGACGAGAAGCGGAATCGCGTCACGATAGAACAAAACTGCGAGTGTAGGCGGACCAAAATGTTCGGAAACGACCGCACTGAAAAATGTTTTAAACAATTTTTAGATATTTTGTTGATTTCGCATAAAAATGCAAGATTTGTTCAACCGTTCTCTCTTTTTTTAATGAATGAAGACGAATTTTATTTTATAAATTTACACATTTTAACAAATCCGAATTGTACAACTTATGGGGCGCTCATCCTCGAAGATAAGAACATCCACCACCCCCGAGACACGACAGAAAGCTGGAATAAAATGCAATTTCTGTTGGAATGATACGTCAAAAACATTATTAAAAAGCGTGCTGTGCTGAGAAACGATATACAGGCAGTGTGGGCCGCCTTTTTGTTAAACATACTAAGCAATCTCCCAAGAAGATGGGAATACTATTACACGACACACGCAACCCTGGCAAGTCACAATTCAGGTCTGTGGTTGAGGGACGACACAAGGGATCAAATAAAGCAAAGGAAACAAGTTTTATTTGGAATTTTAGCATTCGATTCTACCTCACTTATAGCAGTGGTATTTTCATAATTATGATATCAAATTTCAATCGGAACACAGATAATCTCATCTTACAACTTTGTTTCAAAGATCGAATCGAGCAACTTGATAGAACTTTATCTTTAATAGCCATAAAAATAAAATTTTGCCGACAAAAACTTTAATTGTGCGATTTTTGTAGTGACTTTTAGAATTTTTTGTTCAAGCATGAGCCTGATGGGTTTGACGAAACAGCGACGATAAACGTATCACGATCATCCGAATCGACCAAATTATAAGCCTAGATAAAAATACCTATCCTCATTATTTAGCCGAAGGGAATTGAAATTTCTAATGAAAAGAGAGATTTATATGGAAAATTTTATAAGTTTTATGAAAGAAAAATAGGACATTTAAATATCACAGTTTCAATTAAATTGTCTAATTTCGGTTGTACCTTGGGCGTTTCGTCGACATTTCGCCATTTTCACAAGTTTCTGCCGGCGCCTCACCCAGCTTATAACCCCGATAACCCCGCCTACCGATTGTTCCAACGAAGCTTCAATTTATTTTATAAAACTATCCACAAGACGAAATCTGGCGTTTTGGATTTTGTTTGACTTTTTGATGCTTTTAGTTGTGCAATAGTATCGGAGTGTGTACATTTTCGGGAACGATCACTCTTCCCACGTCTCCACGTTTTCCCTATCGTAAAATCACGCAACACGAGACTTACGAAATATAGACGGAAAGCATAAATAAAATAAATCTAAGCAAAAAAAATCTTACCATTGCTTATTTGTAGGACAATAAAATCATAATTAAACAGGGTTTAATCAAACTAAAATAATTATGATATACTTAATTAAAAAGGAATACGGAGTTTTTATAACACTTAGACATCACAAATAAAAAACGATCAACATGTATTTTGAATGTAGTATGTATTTTTAAATTTATTTTCTCTTATAATTATTGATAAATTTATTCTTCTTCTCATGAATTTTATATGTGACCGTGTTTATATAAATTATTTTCGAATTTAATATTCTTTGTCTCGGGACTTAGAGGGAATTGAAAGCATGGCCCAAGATTTGATCGGGCGTGTAAATTAAGAATTAGCAAATACATTCTGAAATATCTATTGTTACCGTAACAAATTGTTTTTCGGAATAAAATCCCAATTTTTATAACAAAAGTAAACTAATATAAAAAGGAAATTTGGTGCATTTGAACGGATTGAGCACGGCGACCTGACCACCCTGTATATTTAGCACTGACTGCTCCATATTTGTTCGCATGTTTTTTTTTCCAAAATTTTGGTATTGCAAGTTTAAACTTGCCTGTCTGTTTAAAAGAAATTCATTGGAAGATTTCGTTCGGTTTAGATGGGAGTATATATGAAAACGTGACTAAATTCGATGTTTTATCTGTTTGGGTTTTGGTGTCACCTTGCGCACATGCCTAACGAAAAGCCGAAACTCTTCCGTGAAAACAAAACAGGGAGGTATTGCAGACCAAAATGACCTGACGCGACCGAGCTACAGCACTCGCAGACCTCAAGAAGCAAATCCCAAAAACATATCGCAATGAATCACCTGCTTCTTTGATTACACAACAGTTAATAATAAACAAAGAAGAAACAGTCGCAAAAGACCAAATTATCAGCCGCCCAAGAAGCCCCGATAAAAGCTCCCATCTTCTGTTTCCCTACTGAAACCATATCGGAGAAAATTATCGCCAGTAAGCGTAATAGGAGGCAATGCACAGAATTATAAGTTAAACGCATCATGATAATTATTTTCGTTTTCGAAAAGTCGAAATGTGTAAGACGTGGTTTTGATTGTCCAAAGTTTGCCGTCCATGCGGACGTTACTCCAGATGTGGTTTTGAGATGTGGCTTCGTTATGACAGAACTCTACCGCATCACTTCTTTCCCAGAGAAAAAAAATGTAACAAAATTATTTCTTTTTGTTTAAAGGATTGGATGAAAATTTTTCTCTTTCCCAATGGTGTTGGTTGAATCCAAATTTTCATTTATGTTTCAATCAAACGAATGTTTATATGGAAATCGTGAGATGCTGTCTGGTGTGACGTAGGTTTCGGAAAAACATTTTCTTTATCGTACCAACGTTTCGATCTTTATTGAGATCATCTTCAGGGCCTGGGATTTATAAACATTGTTTAAATTTTACAAATACATGTAGGATGTAGAAAAAAAAAGAAGTTAAACAATGCTAGAATATTTTAGATTTAGAAAAAGAAAGATCATTTTTCTTTCTACATCCTACATGTATTTGTAAAATTTAAACAATGTTTATAAATCCCAGGCCCTGAAGATGATCTCAATACATATCGAAACGTTGGGACGATAAAGAAAATGTTTTTCCAAAACCTACTTCACACCAGACAGCATCTCACGATCTCTAAACAACCATTGGCTAACGGTCACTAAACAACACACATTTCAAACGAATTTATTTGATGAATTAAAGACCCTTAAACTGATAAATTACAAATTTGACTTAAATTTGTTGAACAGACCACTAAAAACTGGTCTGATCATGCATATGCGTGATTATCGTCCCTAGGGCAATAAATTCAATAAACACTTTTCCTCCAATTCAGACAAGATCAATATACTCATATTTATTTATTTATTTAAAA